TTTTCGTGGATGAAAAAACTGTGTGAAAATTCAATGAAACTGTACCTGCGCTTGAGCAGTCTACGGAGAAAGTGTTCTTGCGCCCAACGTACGCTCTCTTCAAGCCAGCTCCCCTACATTTCACTTTGGAAGCATCTCCGTTGTAGACCGATGTTGAAACGGTGGGAGATTTGGAAACGGCTGCTATGTTGATGCGCGACGATTCGCTGTATTCGGTTCCAACCAGAGTTTTACCTACAAGCATAAATCTGTGTTTGATGCAAAAGAGTGCTGACGTAAGTAAGTTAGGATCAGTGCGTACCGGTAATAAGCACCTTAAACGGAGAACCAGGAATGTGAATGCCGTTATACTTTATGGCGAGGAAGTAGACGCCTGGCGCCATGGGCGTGTAACGTATAACGTAGCCCTTGTCCACTTCGTACGCACCCAGAGCTACTTTGCTTGGGCCGTCAATCTGAACTTGCAAATTGCCAGCTCCAGCTTGGCTATTGTCGACGAGAAATTCGCAGTTATGACCTAAAAATAAAAGTTATGAAATGGATTGACAGGCAAACTATTTAAAAAGCACAATACGCGCCATGTGAAATGACCGAAGCATGGGATCGCTGATCAGAAGTACGATGGAATGTCACGTAACTGCTATAGGAACAATAAATATCTGTCCAGAACGGGATAGCCGCTAGTTTGCAGAAATATTTAAGAAAACAAACAGAACAAATCAGAATAAGGAAACTATTGTCGACTGACCGTTTTGTTCTTGCGTTGGTTAGTGTTCATACTGAAAACCGCATACAAACGGTTTATTTCTTCACAACACAAGCAAATAAGTTTTGGGTTTCGCTAAGCAATCGGATGATTGGCCAGTACCCATGACAAATGACAAGAACTCTACACGGATTGGACAAACCTTATGAAACACATTACCAGAAAACTGATTAACCAACAGCACGGGTCAAAAACACTTTTGACTCCAGAAGTCACAAACGCTAAGGATCACACAACCAACTATGGAAATCAGCCCACAGCCAACTACAAAAGACCATCCCAGAGAAGGACCTTCAGTGACAAGCCGAAACGTCGGCAGTAGTCATTTACACGAATGACAACTAACTGTTTACTCTGTAAATAAATAAAACACTTTTATACATTTTTCAGTCTAAAGGAACTAAGATGGATGCTGGCATCATTGCTAATAATCTGGATAAACGAAGACTTTGGAAACATTGGAGTTTACCGTTTTCCGCTTTCGTCTACATACAGTCCTGCAAATCCTGCAATATATAATTATGTGCCTGTACGGTTTCGCCTACTGCTACATTTTATGGCGTAGAATCAAATCATAAAAGCATTAGTTTGGCTGACATGTACCTGTTTCACCAGTGCTTAAGCCAGAGCCACTGACCACAATGGCCGCTGGATCACTTCCGATAGGTTCACCAACACGAATGAGGAATGGCGAATCCTTTACGGGCACACCGTCGATCTTCAGGTGGACATAATAATTTCCGCATTCTTTCGGCGTGAAACGGATTACATATGAGCCTAAAACATGCAGCAATCAATGCAGTTTAGTGAACTCATTTAAAGATATTTCATGACAAATAATTAAAGGTGTTTTGGTTGGTTTGCTTCGGAAATCTAAAATCTAAAACCAGGTAACGACCCTGTGATAAACTGTCATTGAAACTGTTATCTTTGTTGTGTTAAGTAATGCAAGAACAGGTATTTTAGTACTAAAAATATTACGTTTTGGATTTAATGTCATTGATGCCTCACACAGTGACGTTTTTATATGCAGCTGGTAACTCTGACGTCCGCTTTCTGCGCAGAAATGGATCGCATCACTGCTATATTCCATAGGAAAATCAAATTTGTATTCTAAAGAAACGCCTCGCGTTGTGATCTGCAGGTAAGTAGAATGCACAGTAGGTCAAAAGAATAAGTACTGTATCTTGGGGTGGCACTCACATGTGGCCCGAAGAAAAAGGAACATGGAGAAAACCGAGTTGTATTGCGAGCCTGCATGTTTTCAAGTTAGTATACGCATCTCTCCTCACATATGCTCATTTGTCAAAAGGATATGATCCTGTTCACAAGCGAATAAAAATGAGGTTTCCCCATCGAACTACTTGCACAACAAGACTCGATAAAGTAGTCAGGAATACGCACTCCTAACTAGACATGAGTCACTTATCTTACAGGTCGAGAGATCACCACTGCAACAGTTTGGTCACATGACGAGGATGCCACATGGACGCCGTCATGACAAAGCCAGAAGAAGGACAACTCAGAGCAGAAGAGCAGATACCGAATCAGATGGCACGATTATACAGAAGACATGGAGCTGTTGCGACTTGGAATCCAGACCACTGAACTTTTCCGCGTGGCAGCTTGGGATCATTGGGCAATCCTCCCAAGGAGCTTCCCTTCGAAATGACTAGTGGACTTTGAAGAGGAATAGAAGGAACATAAAATGCAAGTGCTTCGATTCATTTATGCTCGCGTTCCTCCCCATGTTAGCTCCTCTGCCCGGACATACGATAGATACTGTGACCGCATTTGTCGTTGCTTAATGGATCGACCCTAAGTCAAAAATTGCAAAAGTAATGCTACTGTAGATCACCCTGATGCATGATCATGAACGTTGGAAACGTGCCTGATACCACCGCCTCCCCGATCCAAAAGGCCAAGCAGCTGTCGGAACCGAATAACTGATTCAGAGATATAAATACTTAAACTTAAACTGAATATAATTAATTGTCAGATATTAAACAATCATACCTCCTTCTTCGGTGGGGTTTATTTGACATTCCTCTTCAACTCCGTTCGGATTTATAACTTTTGCTTCAAGCTTGCCTTTGGCACCATGGGATGATATGTTCAGCGCGATTGGTTTATCTGTCGGTAAACCAGGCGAGTACGGTAACGAAGAAACTTCCAATGCTTGGCCTTCTCCAGGTCCCGGCGATATATAAACTCTGAAAGGACTGTCTGGTATGTGCATCTCATCGAACAGTATCGCCACTGTGTATTCGCCTGAAAATCAAGTTTCACATAAACTGCACAATGAGAAACGCTTTAAAATTGGTACCTGGTTTGGACACCAAATAGGAAACGAAACAGTTGCCGTCTTTCAGCTGTTTCAGGGTCAGGTCGGCTTTAGACGGTCCCTCCATTATCACCGACAATACGCCGACGCCAGCCTCGCGGCAGTAAATGTTGAAAATGCATGATTTATTCACCTCGCCTTTCACGAGGCCGGTACCACCAGCACGGATTTTGTGAGCTCCACCTTCGGACAGAGGTCCGACGGTGTACTGAAAGGGGCTACCTGAAACATTATGGATGTAAGGCAACTACGCGAAGGATTGGAATATAGTTACAAAACATCTATAAAGATATATGTAATTCCGTAAAATTAACGATCAGTATATTCAGGTCACTTTCATGGACGAATAAATCGCTTGATTGCCCACCAACAACAGTGGGAAGAATATATCAGGAGCCGGGAAGACCAGACTTGAAGAGAAAAGGCCCGAAATCTCGAAGAATGGTGGGGCGTAGGCCGGCGTAATTCGTCACTGATTGCCGGCCGGTCCAGATGATATTCAAATAACTTTAGTTCTTGTCATTTATTAGTAGTTGACTGGCACATAGGGATGTGCATGAACGTTCAAGGTAAGCATTGCTGGATCCATCAAATATAAGTAAATGCCTTGAACCTATTTTCCCTTTGAAGCCCTTTTCTCTTTATTGCCACCTGATGATGTTATCTCTCGAACAGCAGCTCTG